TTGAGTTGTGGGGATTGAACCACAGCAACCTGAGCCTGACTGCTTTGTTGAAGCAGCCACTTAAAGAACTGAGCTAAGGGGCAGGCCCCCGGGAAGCCATTTTTAGACAGCATAAAAGGTTAGTATCATAGTAGAAAAAAAAAGACAGTTCTTTGCATTTCAAACACAAATGTTGTAGCATTTATTTATTTATTTATTTATTTGCTGGCCCAGGATGCCTTCAGGGCAGGTCTGGCAAGGCTTGAGGATCTGGGGATCGAACCACCCACAGCATCCTGAGCTTGACTGCTTTGTTTAAGCAATCACTTAAACAGATGAGCTAATGGGTAGGCCCCCAGTATGGTAGCATTTAGTCATTAGGCTACAATGTCATACAAAATGACTGCATACTTTTCTCATTTGTTTGGCATATTCTTTAATTTACTGAATCAAAAAAAATATTTCCAGAGGTTTGGAAATTCTCTGTGTTAGTGTGTTATTTGTAGTCCTAGTAAAATAATTTTTTAAAATATTAAAGTTTCCTAAGTATGAGTATGTGTTTATTCTTTTTTTTTTGCGGAACTGGGGATTGAACTCAGATCCTTGCATTTGCCAGTCAAGCGCTTATCCTACTGAGCCATGTCCCCGGCGCCTGTGTTTATTCTTTTTTTTTTTTTTTTTTTTTTTTGCGGAACTGGGGATAGAACTCAGGCCCTTGCGTTTGCCAGGGAAGCGCTTATTCCACTGAATTATCTCCCTGGACCCTATGGACTATTTTCTTTTAAAAATCTACTAACATACTATTCTCTTGACAAATGTAGCAGACATATGTATTTTTCTGCTACAAATAGAGAGATTTTTCTGTGTCAGACTTTATTCTAAAAGTTAGGATTACCATTTTAAGCAGACAGCTTTTGTCCATATGGAATTCATTCTAAAAGGCAGTTATAAACATTGATTCATTCATTTGACAGTTTGTACTGAGTTTCACAGTTCTAAAGCATCACAGTTCTGAGGCCCTGGGCATATAGCAGTGACTAAAACTCACAACTTCCTCTCCTCACATCTTATATCAGGGAAATGAGTAATAAAAGATAAAGAATAAAACAAATAAACAGAAAAGGCATATGAAATGTCAAGGGAGCTTCTTGTCATGTGCTGCTTTCTTGTCCAGGCAGGCTCGTGGGGTATTTTTTTGTTTGTTTGTTTGTTTTTGTTGCAGAACCAGGGATTGAACTGAGGCCCTGCGCTTGCCAGGCAAGTGCTTATTCCACTGAGCCATCTCCCCGGCCTCAAGGCAGCCTTGTTGGTTGGGGGCTTGAAGAGTTGAGGAACAGTTGTAAGTTAAAAGATCACTCTGAGGGGCCGGGGAGATGGCTCAGTAGGATAAGCGCTTGACTGGCAAACGCAAGGATCTGAGTTCAATCCCCGGTTCCGGAAAAAAAAAAAAAAAAAAAAAATCACTCTGAGAGGGAAACAGGAGCCAGTGGAAGCAGTAACACAGCTATTTGTTTGTTCTGCGGATGAAGGAAAAGTTCCCCAAGGGAGTGTCATTTAAACTGAAATAGAAAGGAACTTGGCATAAATAGTTGAGAAGGTTGAAGTGCAGAAGCATAAAAATATCTACTAATTCCACATAGAGAGCTACTTTTGCTTTTGTCTGTATTGGTTAGCTTTTTGTCAATGGAACCAAATACCTGACACACGAACTTAAAGGAAGAAGGTTTTATTTTTGCTCATGTTTCAGATATTTCACTCCATGATTGGCTGGCTGTACTGCAGAAGCATCAGGTGGAAGTGCATGGTGAAGCCAAACTGCTCAGTTTGTGTTGACTGGAAAGCAGCACATGGGAACAGGGCCAATGTAGGCCCTGCAGTCATGAATACGTGGCCTGCCCAGACACACCAGAAATGTGCATTATTACCCCCTTTGGTGACTCCCAGGCGAACTCCGAAGTTGACAGCTAAGCTTAAGCTTTGCGCTTTTACAAGTGATAAACCATGGAAGCATGAAAGAAATTCAGATCTTGATTTTTAAGTAGTTCTGAGAATCAGCCTGTCTCAAGTTATATCAGTAGTGTTGCCAAATTATAGTAGTAATTTGGTTCAAAAAGCACTTTCTTATAACTTGTTAACCACATTTAATAGGCAGATGTAAAGTAACTTGTGCAAAGCACACAATTAATGAGTTATTGGCTTGAGAGTCAAAGATAGGCATTCTGATTATAGTTGAGCTTAATTTACTATACTATTTTACTTTTTTGTCTTTTTGAGATGGGGTATTACTGGGCTGTTGAGGCTGACCTTGAATTCACTTTGTAGCCCAGGCTGGCCTGGAATTTATAGCGCTTTCTGCCTCAGCCTCCTGAGTGCTGGGATTACAGGGGTGCTGTATCATGCCTGGCTACACTAATTTTTTTATTTTTATTTTTTAAATAATTCTTTTTTTAAAAAATTTTTTATTTATTTATGTGTGTGTGTGTGGCCAGCTCAGCCCACCAGGGGGCAGGCTGGCATGTGGTGCTGGGGGATTGAACCGCAGTCCCTGTGCTTTGCTAAGCTTGTTCTAAGTAGGTGCTTTAGACCACTGAGCCATCTCACCAGGCCTAAAAGGGACTTTGATTATGCTACAATAAAATGACACTATAACTTATTGCTTAAATTATTTATAAATTAAACATTTCTTGTTTTCATTCCTAATTACAAATGTATATATAGCGCTGCCTAATTTTGTTAAAAATTTCATAAAAGAGGGGCTGGTGAGATGGCTCAGTGGTCTAAAGCACCTACTTAGAACAAGCTAAGCTAAGCAAAACACAGGGACCGCGGTTCAATCCCCCAGCACCACATGCCAGCCAGCCCGCCCCCTGGTGGGCTGAGCTGGCCACACACACACACACACACACACACACACACACAAAATAAATAAATAAACAAATAAATAAAAACTAAAACTCAGGCCCTTGCACTTGCCAGGCAAGTGCTTATTCTACTGAGCCATCTCCACGGCCCCTAAAAAATATTTTTATTTGTGCCTACTTTATAAAATATTATGTTTTGATTAGTTTCTTATATGCATGTAACACTTTGGTGTCGTTCCTCCCTTTTACCCTTCTTTTTACCCTCTGCCTTTATTTCTTTCCTTGTATCATGATTGTCTAAATAGGAACATCTTGAGAGGATGTTTTGAGTTCGTGTATCTACTAATAAATTCCATTTTAAGTGAAAGGTGTTTTCTCTTTGCTGTAGATGTTTGAATGGTGGTACTTCCATAAGCATGGCACGTCTTTTATTGAACAAGTATCTATAAACCATTTGCGGCCACTGATGGGAGGAACAGAAAGCAGCATCACAGAGCCAGGTTCTCCCAGCAACAGAGAAAATGAAACTGGTAGACAGAATGTGTCAGGTACTTTTTCGCCATATTCTCAGAGCTGTACATTTAAGTACATTGAGTTTGATTGTGGGAGATAAACTGAAAACAACACAGTTCTGTGGTTTGACTATGTGCTTACTCCCTCCTTGATACACTGAAACATCATCAGTGTGGTGATACCAGGACGTAAGGTGTTTGGGAGCTGATCAGATCACAGGGGTAGAAGCTCAACAGTTTTATATATAACTGGTAAAGATGACAGTATTATTAATGTAGATCCATGCGTATTAATCCTCAGATTCAACTATTTAAAAATGAAGATACTCCCTTGTATTTCCATGGTTTGTAAAAAAGGGAAGGGACCAGAGAAATGGCTCAGTGGAATAAGTGCTTTCCTGGCAAGCGCAAGGGCCTGAGTTCAATCCCCAGTTCTAAAAAAAAAAAAAAAGTCTACTGAAAAAGGGAAGCAAAATAAGCATTCTATGCTGAATTAGAAGAGATTTTCATGTTTTCCCAGGGGCTCACAAGGCTAGGCAAGTTCTGTATCACTGAGCTGTATCTTCAGCCCTTTTTATTTTGAGACTAGGTCTCAATAAGTTGCCCAGGCTGGGTTTGTCTTGTAATCTTTTTGCCTCTGATGATAAGGCATTTGCTACAACACCCAGGACATTGTTTTCATTTATTTATTTGCGTTCTTCCCTCCTTCCCTATCTCTCCCATCCCTCCTTCATTATTTCCCTCTCTTTTTTCCTTCTCTCTTTCTGAAATAGAATCTCACTATGTAATCCAGGCTGGCCTCAAATTCACTGTGGAGCCTAGGCTGGCCTCAAACTTGTGATCCTGTTTCTTCAGCTTCCCAAGTGTTGAGATTATTGGTATGCACCAGTGCACCTGGCTGTCGATTCATGTCTCTTTTACATCTCTTTCCTTCTCCAACAATTGTAGTAATTTGCTCTCAATAATGATCTTAAGGGACTGGGGAGATAGCTCAGTAGAATAAGCGCTTGCCTGGCAAATGCAAGGGCCTGAGTTCAATCCCAGGTTCCACAAAAAAAAAAAAAAAGATCTAAGTATCATCTTACCTCCTTTTATTTCAGCATTCATTGTGCCATATTTAGGCCCTTGACATTTCTTTTCTAGATGGTTGCTGTATTATGTTAACTAGATTTCCTTCTTCTAATACTTTTCTAGTACATCATCTCCCTTTACTACTGTGTTTAAAAAAAA